TGAAAAGCAATTGATAAGAGAAGTACATCTAATATCTCTAAGGATATTACTCCCAAAGTAATTGTTGCAGATTCTAAAAATGCTGTTTGAATAAAAAATGTTGTGTCAAGCAAAATATCACAAATTCTTCGAACTTCTTTTTCAAAATCTATATAAGTATGAAAATAAATTTGTCAAAGTGTATATTTAACACAGTTATTGATACTTTCAAACTTAAGCTACTATTCGTATTCTATACTTTCAGAATAGTATCAATGACCTCTATTGCAATTCCATAGAGAATAGAGAATTAAAACATGTGCTTGCGTTCTTTGTTGTTTCAGTAAAAATATCTTGTTCTATTCGAACTGTTAGCAAAATGTCAACAAATAAGAAATAAAAAAAAATAAATCTATTAACATAAAAATGAAATACACAAAAAAAAATATTGCCTGCAGCCAAAGTAGCAACAGAAATTTTTAGTTGACCATGCAATCGGGCATTGCCGGCATGACCGCAATTTTCGTCGTTCACATATAATTTTATTTGTTGTTTAGTTTTGTTGTACTCGTTCTTACATGATTATACAATGTTTCAGATACTTGTAGCTCAACGGCTAACAGCTTGTATAATTGCCAATTTTTCACATCACTTCATCAGTTGAATGACATGCAAACTTTTTCTTTTAATAATTCTTACTTTTTATAGGTCAAAGGGTTTTCTTTTCATTTTTTAAATTCTTTATTATTATTTTTCATAAACAAAATAGATACAAATACAGATACAGATACAAAATACATTACACCTTTCACCAATTTTTGCAACTGTTGCTTCCTGCCTGAGCACGTTTTCCGTATTGCACGCAATTTTTCAGTTCAGATACATTTCATCTATAAAAATTTCACTTATATCTGCTCTGCTTTATTTGTGACACTTGCATTTGATTAAAAACAGTTCAATGACTCTAGAAAAAAGTTATGCTTCAATGAAAATGTCAATGATGGACCTGCTAAATCTATGAATTCGTGCTAAAAGGAAAACATTGACTAAATTAAAAAAAAAACTTTTTACATTAAATGCCTTTGACCCGAACGAGTTTTCTTTTATTTCATTTTAAGTTTTGGCATTCAAAATTCATTCAAACTATTATATTACCTATTTATACCTACTATACTTATTATACCTATTTATTAAGGAAGATATGCTGATTTAAGGTCCGTCATCAACTAAAAGACAAATAAATGATATGATTTCGTAGCCTAGTTAAAGCCTAGTGTGGGGTAGAGATAAGCCCCCCAGCCATTATAGAGTAAAAGTGTGTAATAGCATTAACTCAAGAAGAAGAAGAAGACCTATTTATTATAATACTATTTATTATAATACGAGCCAAAGGCCCTGGTATCTAGCACTCATTTTTCCTAACTTCGTTATACGATTTTATATTTTGTAATTAATTATAATAAAAAAAAGAAATAAAAGAAACAGAGTAATAATGCTAATAAAGAAGAAAAACAAATACAAGAAAAATAAAAGTGCTCTTAATAGTTCAGTAAAATAATAAACAGTGTTTGGTTTTAAAGACCTCACATAAAAGATTTTAACTGACGAAACTACCTACAATTACAAAAAGTTACCAATAACTTTACTTTAATGGTATAATTTTAAATGTTTACCATCTCAATGACTGCCAAAGCTCAGGTCCAGCCGTTACTGTTGCAAGTATTTATCTCCAACTTGTTTAATTTTTGCTAAATGCTAACAATCTTTCATCGATTTAGCCTTCTTAACTTTCCTTAAGCTATTTTTATAGTTTCCGGTAACATAACTAGCTGATGGACATATTTTTATAAACGTTACAATACCATATCTATTATATCAGGCTAAGTCAGATTAATCTAACAGGCTGTAAACCACGCATAGACCTGATGGTGCCTAGTGATAACAAATAGTGGTATAGCTCTATTATCGTATTCAAACTCAAACCTTGTCTGCCGTAGTTCTCGTAGATATCCATCATGCCAACAAATTGATTATCCTTTAAATAGTTTGGATAACTTCATAATTATAGATTACTGGAAAATATCTATAACCATACTCTGAAATTACTCCATATATATTGTTAAAGATATTCGTTATAGGTTTGTAGCGGAGCTTCGTCAAATTTTATCATCCCCCAAAATTCTGTGTTATATGTAAACATGGTCTTTACAAAGGATTATTAAAATCATATTTTACTTTTTAAGAAAGTAAAAATTTTTTTTTGTCTCCGAAAGTTCCCATATATAGATTAATTTCTTTATATATATTGAAGTAATAACAGTAATAAAAAGTTGCTAGTGGTACAATCGTTTGTTTGTTATTGTTTAGATTGTAATATTGCATAGATATTTATATATAGATACTTTCTGTTTTAATGGGAGTACTCAAGTTGCAAAAACAAATTCCATATGTATAAATAATAAATATTATATTATTGTTTTTTTTAGTTGCACTGATAATGACGTTTAATATTGTAAAAAATTTTAATGACTTATAAATGATTATTTTAAAAAAGTGACTTCTATTCACAATTATATCAAAAAAAAAATTTTTATAAACAATCAATGATTAACAACAAAAAAAAATAACCTTTGAAGCTAATTTTAACTTTTTTGATAAACAAAACGTTTTTACTTTTACAATAGCTGGACGTTTTATTTTAGCAAAATTAATCATTATCTTTACAAAGTTTTAGGTGTAAAATACTCCAAATGCGTATAAAAATTATAGAAAAAAATTTTTACTTTTTAATTTGTTTATGTAAATATAAATTAAAATTATAGTGTTATATATATATGTATAAAATTTACAGAAAAAAAAATACATTTAAAATTTTATGTTAACCATGCACTTCACCCTGGCACGCATGGTAGCCACGGGAGGGACTGAAGCCCACTACGAATTGAATCGTTGGGTTATATGCACACGTAAACAATGTCGATTAAATGTCGACAAAGGCAGCAATAAAAACCGGTATCGATATATATAATTCGATATGAAAAAATATTAAATGTTTACCAAGACTTTCATAGAAGTTATTTTCTGGTACATAAATATCTTTTAGGTATTTTGACCACTCTATCAATCACAACAGCTAGTATTGATAGATATGTCGATTAAATATCGACAAAGGCAGCAATAAAAACCGGTATCAATATATATAATTCGATATGAAAAAATATTAAATGTTTACCAAGACTTTCATGGAAGTTATTTTCTGGTACATAAATATCTTTTAGCTATTTTCATTACTTTATCAATCACAACAACTAGTATTAATAGATATGTCGATTAAATGTTGACAAAGTCTCCAATAAAAACCGGTATCGTAATACATATAGAATTTGATACGAAAGAATATTAAATATTTGCAAAGACTTTTATGGAACTTATTTTCTGGTACATAATATCTTTTAGCTATTTTGACCACTCTATCAATCACCAGTATTAATAGATCAGTTTCTGTTATAGAATATTATAAGAAACCTACCAAGAAATATAGAAATAAATTGAGTGTGCATGTTATATGTTACTTTCGATTTACTAGAATAATGCGGTTGATTCAAATAACGTTATCAACTTTCAAAATTTTTAGATCTTTAATCTGTAAGCCCTTCTCGTCGTAATTGTCTGGCTACAAGTCTGCACTCAATCTACAAATGTGCAGACATCCGAGAATCGAAGGACGAAAAAGGACCGAAATCGTTTCGTGGTCTACTTCGGCTAATCCTTCACTTCATTGGGACCACTTGTTGGACTGTGCGCTGTCGCAACGCCTCACAATTCATATATATATATGACATAAATACCTTAATTTTATATGAAATATTATTTATGTATATAAAGTAATTATTTTTAAATATATTTTTAATTTACCTCATTATGTAAAATCCATCAAAAAGCATTTTGCTTTATTGATATTATTTTAACCTTTCGTTTGTCATAAAATAGATAATAATAGCTCAAATATATAAAACGTGGTAAGATTATCTAAATTTTTTCAGTTAGGTATATATATTTAGAATAATTTTCATATCAGGAAATAATTTTTATTAGGTTGCTTATCTAAATGTTTGCCAAAATATGTTACTTATTTCACAATTCGAAAGTAAAAAAGTAGTAATATTCAACAATATCTATCTCAACGAATTCTCTGTTAGTCTGCTTCGTAAAGTTCAATCATGATTAGAAAAATAAAATTATTTATTTGATGCTTAGATACTTTAAACGTACACACATATATCAATTTTTATATATTATTAATATATATTTTAATAACAATATAAAATCTTATTATTTTTCTAACAGAAGATTGTGATGTAAAAATATTCTTTTTTTTACACTTAAAATTTTCTTATAATGTTTTTTAATTTTATAGACTTATATTATTTTAAATGAATACAAAAAAATGTATTATTCTCATATATTTATTCTTACATATTCTCAAAAGTACTATTAAAATTTAATAATATATGTTTGTCAATAAGAAATACTTTATGTACTCAAAAACAAAAATAATAATAAAATTTTTACATAATTGTGAATTGTAAAATATTAATACTAATACATAATTTTAGTAGTAACAAAATATTAAAATTAAAATTCTTTTATGTCATTAGGCTTTATGTTATTAGGCTTTTCTAAATGTTATGCTTCGGTGAAATTAAGTAAATATATCTTTAACGGAGCTGGCTTTTGTATCTATCCGCTTTGTAGACGTAAATTTCAATATTAAATGAACTATGTATGTATAGCACGTGTTGAGTGCAATTATTATTGTTAAAGTTTATTAACAATTTGTTGCTAAAAAATCTTTAAAAAAAAGTGGATTTATTTACTTACGA